AAAAATGTTCTTAGTTGTGCAGAGTTGCAAGACTCGGCATCTGGCTGCCCTTGTGCTCCAGTTGTACTGCTGTGCAACTCCCGATTTACACCAATGTGCCTTTGACGAACTTTGGCCCAATGAGCTGAGAGCCCAGATTCGAGTCCTGGGAGCTGGAAGAGCTGGTTGTTGGGGAGAGAAGTGGTATGGCCCATGGGCCAGAGTCTTGGTGGGTGTAAATGGGTGCTGCTGCAGCGACTGTAGTAGTTTACCCCAGCGAAGGAGCCACACTAGAGAGTCCAAGTAATGGAAAAAGGTGGAGCTGGGAGGGGAACTCTGCCGTTACCCAGAGTCTCTCAAGGAATTTCTTCTGTGCTCTAACAGAGGGGAAGAGTAATGTCTCTGAGGCTAATTCACAATCTCTGCGGATCAAAGCAGGAACAGTGGTTTCCAGGAACAGAAACCACTGCCTGGAGAAGGTGACTTAGCCCTCGGTGCCAGCCAGTGTTGAAAGGGGACACAGCTGACATGACAGCAGCCATGTGAGAAGGTGTGGGTTCAGCTCCTGCCATGGGGTGCTCCTTGGAGGCCCCCATGATGTTAACCGCAAACAGGACAGTTGCCCCATTCCAAGGTGACAGAAACCACGTGCGGGCTCTGGTTGAATTCAACAAATCATTACAACAATGGAGAATTGGGGGAAAGCTCCCCGAGCAGGCCAGTGCTCCAGATGGACGGGGCTCGGAGGCAAGGGTTTGGGTCCAGACTGACGTTTGAACAAAGTCATGGTAGATCCAAAGGGCTCAGTCATCTGACAATGGCAGCGAGTGGTTTAGTTTGAGGTGAACAAACCATTGCAGGGTGACTTAAAAGAACAGTTTTTGGTTTGTTTTCACGTTGCCACAAGCCCTGAAAACGTTTTGTCCTGGTTTGGCCAAACCGAACTTCTCCTGCGGGCAGGCCCCTCCACGGAGCAGCAAGGCTGTGGTTGTCTTAGTCTGTCTCGAGCAGACCCCGCAGCAGGAAGGATGGGTCCAGCTCAGCGCAGCTAAGGGTGAGCCCCAAGGTCGCTGCTGAACTCCTTCCTCCTTAAACTATATGAGGTTGAGGGTCAGATGTGCCCAGTAGCTGATCCGGGATGGTGTGGTGGTGGCAGAGAGTTCACTGTGAGTGTGTCTGGCAATCACGGCATCCAAGTGGTGACAGCAGCATGGCACCCCTCTAGATCTGACCTGGCTTGAGGGAATTGGGAGCATCTCCCTTGGAGTCAATGACATTGGGCCAGTGAGAGGCTTGCTAGGCTCGAGTCCTGGGGGTTACTCCATGCTGCTTGGAAGGGCGCAGCTTCTCCAGACCGTCGCAGCAGCAGACAGTGCGGGGAGGGAGTCGAGACCTCGTCAAGGCAAGACCCATCTCACCCAGCCACTAAACAGATGTGATGCGTCCCTGAGGTGAGATGAATCCCATTTGACAGGCTCTTGGGGTCAGGCTTCCCTGGTGTGGAGAGCAGGACGGCCTTGGGCTCAACGTGGCCTTGGTCTCAGCTGCTCACAGGGATCTCTGCTCCGAGATTCCCACACCACAATGCTCACCTTGCCTGGCCGCGTCCTGCAGCTTTGTCTCCATGATAAAGATGCCAGAAGGCGGAAACCATCTCCTGCTCTCCCTGCGCCTGCAGAGCTGAACCAACCAGGCCCCTCATGGGCTCACAAATGCCGTGGAGTGGGAGTCAGCAGAGCTCCTGGCTGCTCCCAGCCTGCTCTGCTGCCACATTGCTGCTTGGACGTGCCACTCCCTTCCTCTGCACCTTGGTCTCCTGCATATAAAAACACTGGGAAGCCAGTGGGATCAGGGGGAGGACTGCAGCAAAGGGACTGGCGAGTGCCAGCTTGGGCCCTGGTGCAGGAGACGACGGGGCAGGCAGTGACAGCTGAGGCAGCAGCAGGCTGGCTGTGAAGCATTGCTTGTATCCTCTCCTCCATCCCACCCCTCCCTGAGGCCAATCTCCAGCCCTTCAGTGCCTGCCCAGCCTCTGGGACCGTCTCTGGCTGCCCAGGCCTGCTCCAGCAGCTGCCAGCTACCCCTTGCCCTTTCCCTTTCAGTGGCGAGTGAAGCTGTGTCCTTGTTTGAAGCTCGGCTCCCGCGGACGGCACTGTCGCTCCACCCCTGCGTGACCCCAGCAGCTGTGCTCTTGTCTGGAGACTGATAAGAGCTTTTCCTAACTCCTTTCACTCAGCAGACCAGGCTCTTTGCTTTGCCAGGGGCCGCGCTACCTCCCCAGAGAAAAGGCTGCTGGCTGTTAGTGACCCCGCAGCCAGCATGGCGCTGGATTAGCAGAGCCACCCCAAGATGGGCCTTTCTCAAGTGCAAATGGGCTAATTTACAACATCGCAGACAGAAAAGCCCAGTTCCCCTTCCCACTCTGCTAGCTGAGGGTTTTCCCCAGCACCCAGCCTCGGGGCTTTGGCCAGTACTCCCCAGACCATGGGAGTTGTTCTCCATCTCCAAGCGGGCTAATGCCTTTTGTGTGCCCAGAGCTGTGCCTGCTGTCAAAAGGTCCATTTTGCCTCTCACTGTGGTGTAAATCGGCAGTAGCACCATTGAAGTCCAGGGGAGTTTTGGCCAAAGATGTTGCCTTACAGGGAGCAGATACTCGGCATGTTCAGTCCTGGGCATTAGCAGTCCGCTCCAGAGAAGCGGAGTGAGAGCACAGCCCTGAGCATGAGCTCCAGAGGCAATGCTCAACTCTGGCGTCGGGTCCCTTCGGAGGGAGCCCAAAGGCAGGTTTCTCTGGTGTAGGTGGCATGTGCCCTCTAGCAGTGCCAGTGTCACTCTGAAGTGGTTGTTTGTTCAATGCAGACCAGCTCTCCATGCCATGTTCATGAGTACTCTGGACAGCTAGCTTGAAAGAGCTCCTTGCTACAGAGTAAATTTACTGAGCGGTCAAAGCCAGAGGAAGTTATCCCAGAGTAGGTATGTTGTGTGTCTGCCTCAGAGAGGGATATTCTCTGGTCCATATAGATCTAGCTTCCTGTACTAGTGCAAAGCCAAAGCCCCAGCTCAGTCACCCCTGATTTACCTATGACTAGAGCCCAATCTTTGCTGCAGCCAGAGGACACAGTCTGGGCATCCCAAAGTGAGCTTTGAACTTGCTCACTTCAGTACTGATAGCAGCAGAGCCTCAGTAGTGTGGGCTTCAGTACAGGCCACACTCTGGGCACTGACTTGGCCCCTGAGTCCCCTGCCACCACATCCTCACTGCCTATGCAATGCCTCTGGGATTTAGTGCCTAATCAGAGCAATGAAAGCGTGTGATCCTGTGGGAAGCCATGATACGAAAGCACAAGTCGCGCTCTGTAAGGCTTGTTGATGGAAAAGAGCAAGTGGTGGTAGAAGCAAACCAATCCCAGTGCTAGCCTGCTCATGGTGACTGGTAGTAGAAAGGCTAACTGGTAGCAGCAGGGCTCAGCCACATTGTGTGAGGATGCCCACTGATCTATCAGTCAGGGAGGATGTGTCAGGCCTACTTTCTTTACAGCAAAGAGCATTTCTACCAGGTATAACTTGGAACAAGTCTTGAATGGATTGCTATGAGAGACTGAGGTGGAAAAACCAGAACAAGGAAGGACAGAAGTGAAATCTCCACAAGAGAAGGAGAGCACAGGGTGCATCTCGCCTACTACGATCTGCAGGAAGAACACAATAGCAATGACTTTTAGCATTTTAGAGCATTTATAGAGGTTACGTATAATAAAGGCATAATGCACATAAAAGAAAATCCCAGGACATACAGCTACATGCTGTTCAGGAGCATCCAGAAAATGGTTTCTGGATTGTTACTATGTAGGCGAATCTGTTTCCTTTGATCTTGAGATTTAATTCTAGAATTGATGCCAGGGGAAAATTGTTTTGAAATGGGACTTTTTAACTAGACATGTGCTGCACGTGAACTATCAATTGTGTCAGCTAAAGATACAATATATGATCCAGGGGAGTTGTCAGGTTATTATTGGTGTGTGGGTGTGTGTTGAGGCTGCCTGTGTATTAATATGTGTCTGCTATAAAATGTATCCATAAACCAAAAGCTGTAACTAAGATCTACCGTGCCTTAGAAAGACTGTGTGGTCCAGTGGATAAAGCCAAGAAACCCAGGTTCCAAGCTTAGCTTTGCCACCGATTACCTGTGTGATCTTGGTCAAGTCATTTTCCCTCACTTTACCTCTGTTTTCCCTCTCACCTTCTGGTCTATGTAGCTCATAAGCTCTGTAGGGCAGGAACTGTCTCTTCATATGCATTTTTTTTAGCTCCCAACTCAATGGAGCCTGTAGGCCAGTGTCACCAATGTCCACACTTATAAGTGTGACCTCATTTGTGGTGATGACCCTTCATTTGGGAACTGCTGCTAGTGGTGCTACCATGTAAGAACATCATCATCATCCTGTGTCGTGGGTGTAATAATACTTGCACATCTCATCAGGTTTTGCAAGGCCTAATTAGCATCTCCTAGGTGCGTTGATCTCAATGGATGACAGGTGCTACAGGAGAGAGGGAATGACTGATTAATTACTCCGCTCCCTTGGAGAACAGTGATTCTCAGGCATCCCATCCAGCAACGCTGCGTATCATGACAAGATCTCAGCTCCTGCTAAATACAGACCTAGTGGGACATTCCCTTCTGAGATCAACCCCCACTCAAACACACCCCCTCCGCCAGCCAACTCCACACGCTCCCTTCAGGGCTCCGCTGCTGTGCTCGTGCAAAGCGAGACGTCCAAAGCAGAGCTGAAATCTCTCTCAGCCTGAAGCCTCCCCGTGATGCCCAAATTGAGCACGATAAATATTTGAAGACCCTGGGGCTTTGTACCAGGCTGCTCCTCTACAACTGCCAGACGCTTGTAGTTGTAATGTCAAGTTGTTTGTGGAAAGCATTGTGGGCAAAAGCTGCATGGCTGGGAACTAAGGCAGTGGAGCTGGGGCAATGCCAGTGCTAGGACGGGTGGGTGGGCCTGTGCTAGGGGTGGATGGGCAACAAGCAGAGGGCTGATGTTGCAGCCCAGCCTGGTAACAAGGTTATGTAAAGCGGACATTCAAGGAGGTCCAGGTTTGGGCAGGTCAGGCATGCCTACACCCACCAACATGTAGGCCCCTGGATTCGAGAGCATCTGTTAGGCTAACAGGAGACCAGAGGGCCTGGGGTTGGGAGGGAGTGGATAGTGTGTTCCCCGGTGGTGCTTGTCAATGGGAAGCAGGTGTCATTCTCCTCGGTGGCATTTTCTGGAGCCAAGGTTTGGATCTAGCCCCAGTTCTAGGGTGCTCCGATCTGGGGGTTCCTGGGCTTTGAGATTCAGACCCGAGCATCCACACCGTCTGGGTTTCTGAGACAGGGCAGATGGACCAGACCTCTGAATTTTCACTGTGACTATGGACTTGTCCCTTGACCAAACTGCCCCTCCAGGCTGAGCAGAAATGGCCTTGTGTGCACATGAAGGTGGCAGCGGGGAAGAATGCGTGCCCTGGGCTCTGGCACAGGGGGTTCCCCGGCAGGTCAAAGCTCACCAGCAAGTGGCTGTGTGAGGGGGCTGAGCTTGCCAGCAAGGTGCAGAGAAGGGGGACGTTAGCTCTTGACAAGGTGCTTCCATGTGTCTCTGGGTCTAGCTACTAACACAGTTTCTTCTCTCTGTTTTCAGTTAAAAAAGCCAAGTTTGATGGGCCCCAAGGTGAGTAGCTCCCTTATCTCCCCTGTCAGGTGCATGATGCAGAATAGGCTTCTCCTACCCAGCCCATCTGCCCCGTGGACCTGGGCCCAGGCTCCCTGTCTAGGGGTTTGGTTTTCCTGGCCACCTTGCTCTGGCCCTTTGAGAAGGAGAGCCTGGGGCCATCTTTAAGTTTGCTATAGCAAAAGGCAGCTGCAGGCAGTCCAGGGAGAGCCTGGAGCCTCTGGGAATAGGTTTGAGGCTGGGTGGGAAGAGCCCATGGGGGCTCTCCAGGCTGGGGCAGGCGGTGTGTGCTGCCCTGCTTTGCTGCGTGTATGGGGAGGGGGCTTTCACCCCCGGTCACCTCTGCCCCTTTCCCTGCAGAGAAGTTCAACACCTACGTGACGCTGAAGGTGCAGAATGTCAAGAGCACGACCATTGCCGTGCGCGGGAACCTGCCGTGCTGGGAGCAGGACTTCATGTTGTGAGTGCTTCCCACCACCCAGGGGGCTGCAGGACAGGTGGGCAGGGCCAGGCTCTGTCTCCTGGGGCAGAGGGTGTCTTTGAGAAGCCCCATGGGTCACGTAAGCTTCATAGTAAGTGTGAGCTGAGAACATAGACTGAGATGTCAGGGGCATATGGCCTGGATCTCCCCAGGGCTCAGTCAGAGCCAGAGTATTCAAGGGTACTGTTCCTTGTATTGAAGGGTCCCTGCTCAGGTCCCTGCACTGTGGCCAGGGGCTGGACCCAAATCCCCCTGTGTGACACCATATGGCATCCCCCTGGTCCATGCTGAGCAGGCAGGTTCACAGCCTGCCTTCCTCCTGCTGGCACTACTGCCTCACAGGCCCTGGCAGAGGCTTCATGAGGGGTGCCTGAGGGGCTGGTATGTCTCTAAGCCTCCCCAGAGGCACTTAAAGGGCTTCAACCTGCAGTGACAGGGCCATCACACCTCCCAGCCATGGAGCCTGTCACTGGGTAGAGAGAGGAGTGAGGCTTTGCCAGGGCATCAGGGCATCCCTAGTCCTCAGTCTTGCCAGGTACCAGGCAGACACAGGATCCCTGCACTCTGCCGGACTGAGACACCCTGCTGTCACTGAGGGTGGGGGAGCAAGGGGGAGGCCTGGTGCATGCTGGTTTTGCAGAGGGAGCCCTGGGGACTGGAATGGAGGGGTAGGGGGACAGGTATCCTCCATGCTATGGTAGAGAAAATTGCTGCCACCCAGCCCAAGAGGGACCAGGGCCAGGCAGAGAGGTGGGTCCCTAGGAACCAGGGACCTCTTGATTCCCAAGACAAGGTCCTGGAGGACTCCCGCTGAGCCAGCACAGCTGGCAGGGTGGAAGACAGTGGAGCATGGGGACAGCCGACTGCAGGGGCAGGAGTTTGCACCTCCCAGTTGCTGCCCCTATCTGCCCAGAGCATGCAATGCTGGCGAGATATGGGGGTTGAACCCTGAAGCCCAGCCTGCAGCAGAACTGCCACAGCTGTAAGTCATGTAGCTCACACAGGCCCATCAGCTGATGCCACCACTCTGGCCCGAGCGCTCCACTGCGAGATTGAAGTGACAAGTGACGAGTCATTTGAGGCTCCAAATTTGTCGGTGCTTAAAATGGATGTCATCTGCCGGAGGAAGGCTCCTGCATCCTACGCACCTGCGAGGGGAACGTGCGAGCGACGTGTGAAAATCACAGCTCAGACACAGAGTGATAGAGGCACCGCTGCCCCCCGGGCTGGGGCCGGCTCTGAGACTGGTCTTGTAGCCACAAATAAGCACAAACACAACTCCCAGCGCAGAGCTCCAGCCAGGGGGGGACTGTCCCATCAGGCTGGTCTGTCCTGTCCTTCCTGGAGCCGGGCACAGATGGGAGCGTGGGCATCAGGGGAGCTCCAAGATACTCCAGTCCCAGCTTGCTCTGACTGCTGTGGAGGCGCTACTTTTTTTTTAGTTTCATGCCTAGGGCCGAATCAGCCAAATCAGTTTTAAATTCTGTCAACTGAGCAGAGCTCAATTGTTCACATCTGTGGCGTTATCCCTGGCAAGTCTCCTCCTCCCAGACTCTTCAGCCTGGGGGTTCAGATACTCCCAAATCCATGACACATCCTATGTGCAGGTCCCAATCCCAAAGGCCTTGGGGTTCATGCCCCTCAGTCTCACTTGCCCCTAGCCAAAAAGCTGAAGGATCAAGCTAGAGGGAAAGCCCAAGATCAATCCCCCATCAGTATACATCGTGTAGCTGAGATCCTCCATAGGGAGGCTATAGTAGACTCTCGTAGGGGTGCCCACCCGCAGTGCCGTGAACAGGTCTCCACCCTCAACTACATCAAGTCATTCAAGACTATGAAGAAGGGGATCTCCCCTGCCAGGTATGTAAAACCACCTGGGCAAAAACAATCCTCATGCTATGGGAGCAGGGCGGGAAGGCTGCCTGTTGGGGGAACCAGTGGAGCGTTCTCAGGTCCATGTGGGGCATAGACGACTGGTAGGGGATGCACAGGGGTGCATGTGCCCTCCCTGACTGGGCCAGTGCCCCCGCTGATGGCTGACACCAACGGTGTCAGCAGGGCTGGTGCTCCCCCTGGCAGGGCTGCCACCAGCAGTGTCTTCTGCAGGAGGCACCAGTCACTCGTAGGGCATGTTGCTGGAGCCCCCATGGAGATACAGGGAGCAAGCCGAGGCCAGCGCTGGCTGTTGTGTGACTGCTCTGCTTTCCCTTCCAGTGAGATCAACCGCCTGGACTTGGGGCTGACGGTGGAAGTGTGGAACAAGGGGCTGATCTGGGACACCATGGTGGGCACTGTATGGATCCCCTTGAGGACCATTCGGCAGTCCAATGAGGTAGGTGCACAGTTGCCCCACCTGGGCCCAGCAGCAGCTCCCAAGTGCTGGGGAATGTGCCTCACGTCAGTCCTTGGGAGCCCAGCCAGGATGTCCCATGAGCCGTAGGCGCTGGGGCCATGGATGGAAAGGAGGGTCTGTGCTGGAGGAAAGCAGGACCAGGCCTCTTACCAGGCCAGCCTGCAACTATCACTGTGAACAAGGGATGCAACTCAGGACTCCTGGATTTGGCCCCTGGCTCTGTCATGGACTTGCTGCTTGTCCTTGGGATATCACTGTCTCCTTTGTGCTTGACTTTCCCCACCCATCACAGACTTCCTAAGTACCCATGGGGGCAGCGAGGCTTAGCTGTGCCACCCTGTGGAACTAGGCATAGAGGATGGCGGTGGTAATACCCAAAGCAGCAGAGTGCCCCAGGGTTGAGGGCAACCCCTGTCCTCATGGTTCGGTGGGTTTTCAAACCTATCGCTCTTTCTTTGTGTCAATAGAGGGGGGAGAGGGAGCTTCCCAGCCAAGCCAAGCCCAACCTGGGGGAGATCAGCTCCATGTGGCTGCTCTCAGTACAGCCCAGGAAGAGGCGATGATCAGCAGAGACCAGCCTCACTCTGCTTCTGCTGCCCAGCCTGGGCGGACTCCCAGGTGGGCAGGTTGTCTCTGTGGCGGGCCAGTAGGGGGCGCTCCTGCGTTGAGCCGCCCACCTCCCTGCGCCCGACCACCTTCCAGGCTCCGAGTGCCTCCCTTGGGGGGCCCCCCGTCCGGCCGACCCCTTCCCTGGAGCACACCCGCTAGCCTGGGGGTCCCGCTGCCACCATCCAAGGCTCTGGACTCACTTCTGGCTCTGCGCACCTTGGAAAACACAGGCCTGATCGTCCAATGGGTGCTAGACCCAGTACAAGCACTTGGGGCACTTCCCCAAGTCAGGGGCTTATTAGGAAGCCTCCCTTAGTCCACCGACCTAAGGGGCCTCCTTGGCATAATTTAGACCCACCCCTCAATAAGTCTCCCACACCGGTCACAAAGGAGAACTTTATTGATGACAGGGGTAGGGCGGAAACAGGGTAAAAGGTAGAGCAATATCATAGAAATATTACAGGAATATCAAAGAAATCCCATAGAGCAAACCAGGGTGGCTGAGGTAGCCGTTTAAACACGCATCTGAGTTACTGAAGCTAAATATCTGATCGGATCTCTAGCAGCTTACTCACTCACATCATCCAGAGGTGCTTGTTGTTTCCTCTGGAGGCAGGGCACTCTTGGAGCCTGCGGTGATGAGGAGAGAGCCAGGTTCAGATTCACCTGGATGACCGCATGGCTAATGGCTGGCGCTTGCCAATACTGGCTACAAACCGTCCAATCTGCAAAGCATCCCTGGCTACCTGGGCCCGCGCGCAGGGCCGGGCCTTTCCCCCCCTCTGCCCAGGTGATCAGAGCATCGCCTCCCAGGCGCCAGGCTTTTGTCTGCAGACAAGGTGGGAGATCTCCGCTGTGGGGGATTCAACACCAGCCTCTCAGGCTGGCTGAGACAGATGTCTGGAGAGGGGCACCGACGGGGGCATTTCTGCCACAGTCTCTGCCTCTTGGCTACCTGGACATGTAGGATTGATGGCCAAGGGAGATGTGGCAGCAGACTCCGTCTGCACCTGGGCCTGCCTATTGCCTGGGGCTCACTAAATGGCACTGCCAGAATCGTGCCTGGCCTTGGGGAGCGCCCTGCCCTGAGCAAGCCTCTTTGCTGACCGCCGGCGCTCTCCCTGCAGGAGGGCCCCGGGGAATGGCTCACCCTGGACTCCCAGGTCATCATGACCGACAACGAGATCTCTGGCACCAAGGACCCCACCTTCCACCGCATCCTGCTGGACACCCGCTTCGAGCTGCCGCTTGGTACGTGCTGCCCTGGATGTACAGATGAGGGGCCCCGGCAGAGCTCAGGGGGTACCCAAAAGTGGGAATGCAGCGGAGGTATGGGTGGGAGCTGAGGGGCACTGACAGGGTCAGGATGCCAGGCTGGAATAGCAGGGGGCTGCGGCGGGCATGGAAAATCCATTCCCAGGTGCCCCCATGTCACCAGGGGACAAGGGCTTGGGCTCCCCAGCTCTTCTCCCATCAGTCTTCCCTGCCTCAGGAGTGCTGGGCTCCCTCTGCCTTTGGGCCACTACTGTCTGATCACCACCAGTGCAATGGCTCACTGCTCGCTGTGGTGAGGACTGACACCGCCTGTCACAGCCCGTCATCAGCAGCCCACGGGACAGCTGTTCCTTCTCCCTTCCCCTGCTTTCCCCTCTCCCTGTCAGGTTTCCTCCAGGGGCTCTCCCAAGGAAGGTGGGCAGGTACCTCTGACTCATCCTCTCCTCCCTGCCTTGCCAACCACCCCCCATCTTTCTCCCACCTCACACGTCCCTGGTCCCCAGCTAGGGGCCATGGGCCCCCCGCCCCAGAGCTGTGCCCTGCTTCTGTGCATCTGGCAGCAGCAAGTCCATGTTGAGAGGGAAGGAGGCGAGCTGCAGAGACACTGAGGGCTGACAGCAGAGCCTTTTTTGCCTTCCAGACATCCCTGAGGAGGAGGCCAGGTACTGGGCCAAGAAGCTGGAGCAGCTGAATGCGATGAGGGACCAGGATGACGTAAGTCAGCGCTGGGCCTGGCTCCCCCTGCCATCTCCTGAGCTTGTGTGCATCTCCTCAGCCAAACCGGCAGCCTTGGGGGGCTTCCCACTGGCCTGGGTGGCATGAGCTGCAGTGGCCCCAGGTGGAGGATGGCATGGCTGAGTGCGCCTGCCAGAGCTAAAGGAGGGAGATGGGGCAAGAAACAGGAATGTCCCGAGCTGTGGAGCTCCGAGAAGGGAAGGGGCCTGGAAACCCTTCCTTGCTGCTGAGAGGCCCCATTCAGTAGGACCAGGACAGCCTTGGGGATGGCCATGACCCTCGCTCTCTGTCCTCTCCCCAGTACTCCTTCCAGGAGGAGCCGGAGAAGCCACTACCCGTGCACGGCTCCCAGTGCTGTAAGTACCAGTCTCCCCCTGCTCACAGCAGGACCTCAGCCTCCCACTCCCTTCAGCTCCTGCAGAGCTGCGACATGGGCCCCTTGTGGCCCCTGAGATGCCTTAACATGGGGGCAGGATGGAGCAGGGAGGGGGCCATGGAGGGAGCAGGGGGTAGAGGCTGTGGTGCCCCGGGACACAGTGTAACATGCTAGGACAGGAATCTGCTTGGCCTCGCATAGAGTGGGGCAGGCATGACAGCAAGTTGCACCCCCTGCCCCAGCACCCCACCTTGGGGTCCCCCCATCCCACAGCACAGCCCCTGTGTCCCATGCTTGAAACTGGGACAGCTCAAGGCCCTGGGCCCACTCTCTCCAGACTTGCCCACATCTCAGTGCCTTGTAGCCAGCAGCAGTGAAGCATGCCTAGTGTGGCAGGGCTCCTGGGCTGGCACTTTATAGTGTTTGGATGCAGGGACTTGACGTGGACGGCTGGCCCCAGTGGGGCATGAGATGTGATTCCCTCTCCTCCAATGTGCGTGGTCCCTTCCCTCTCTCCCTGCCCTCCCTCTGCTCCCATTTTCCTCCCTTTGTCTGCCTGTGTTTTCTCTCTCCCTTTGCTTCAGTCCTCTGCCTTGGCAGGGTCCCAGCCTTGGGTCAGTCCTGCAGGGGCAGGATGGCAAGGGGGGGCAGGCAATGGTTGGGCTGCTGAGGGTGGGAAGGAAGCTGTGTTGCCCAGGCTCTCTGGCTGGAGAGCGCGGAGCCCCTGCCAGGCCCTGGAGAAAGGGAGAGTGGGGGCCTGTTTCCCTCTCAAGCTTCTGCTTTGCAGCAGAGAGGCCAGGCAAATCCCTTCCTTCACTCACTGCCTCGGTTTCTCCAGCTGCGGAGCAGAGCCCATAACTGGGCCTTGGAAGGGCTGAGTGCGGAGGGGGTGAATCAGGCAAGCCCCTGCCCCACCAGGCTAGGGGTTTTGCAGACTGCTTGGTGTGCCCCACTGTCCGTGCCATGCAACAGGAGAGGGGATGCTGTGGCGCGTGCCACACAGCGACCAGCGTAGCAGCTCCTTGGTGATGTCAGATCTTCTCTGCAGCTGTTTGGGCTGGAACCAGATGTGGCCATGACCTGGCTCCACCAATCCTTCAGTCCTGCTGCCTGGACCTTTTCTTTCAGCCTCACCAGACCCTCAGAGACATCCCCCTTTCCCTCCAGCCCCCTTCCCACATGGACTCTGCCTCAGCCCTTTTGCCCCCACCCCCAGCTCACTGTTGTAGGCTCCAGCAGGGGCTTAGTCCTCGTCCCCCACCCCAACTCTGTAGCAGTCGAAATGGCAGGTCCCATGTCTCCTGAGTGTGCTGTAGAGACAGGCCAGGGCAGCTCTGGGTCTGGATCTGCACTAAGCTTGGGGGGCAGGAGAGGACTGATCCCTGAGCACCAGTGCAGTGCTGGAGCCTGGGAGCTACATGCCATCGTCTGGGCTGGGAGGGGTGCTTGGGGTTTGTTTCGGGCCTGCCTCTGGAAAAGGACATTTGCTTTTCCCATCTGGGCTCTGACACCTGCTCCCAGAGTCATGTCCGTCTTTATTGTCTCTGCCCCTTTTCTTTGTAGGCAACTGGAATTATTTTGGCTGGGGAGAACAACAGAGTAAGTATCCGCTCTTCTCTCCTACATGGCAGGCAGCACTCCCTTCTCTACCCCGATCCCTCCAGAGGCCAGCCGTCCCTCCCCACCCAGTGGAGCCCACCTTCTAGCTCCAACCCCATTAAGAGACTATAGTTAATGCAGACAAGCCCTAGAGGGTTACAGGGTGGCTCTGGGCTCTAATCTCACCTCTGACTTTCCTATACTTTAGCTGGCATGTCTTGCAGTGCTCAGTGGAGATAGGTGGCAGCCCCTGCTGGTACACAGGCCCATCTGCAAAGCCCTGCTCCTTCTAGGGTAGAAGGAGGACACGACCCCAAGGAAGGAAGCGGGGCTGGGGAGGGGAACAGTGTGCTGATGGCACTGTAATATTTTGGTCAGTGGGTAGAGGATGGTCCCAGTGTGCAGGGTGGGTGCTTTAATCAGGTGTCCGCAGGGCTCACTAGTTGTGACACAAGGCTCTGTGCTTTTCTGCGGTCCAGTTGCCCCAGACTCAGGAGGCTGCCTGTCCATGGCAAGAGATTACTGGGAGAATGTCAGCATCCTAAGGACCCCTCACCATGTCCCCTTCCTCTTCCCCTTCCCCCGACCCCTTATGTATAATCCCATTTCCCTCCTCCCCTCCTCACCCCCTATGATGTGGTTACCCCTACAGTCTGCCCTTTGGGTTAAGGAATCCCTTTGGACTCCATTGCTTGCTGGGGGCAGGGCCTGTGGTTTGAAGTGGTGTGAGAAGATGGTATGGTGGGTTATTGCCTCTGGGGCCTCAACCCCAGGGTTTAAATCTTGGGTAGGAGCAGGTCAGGAGCTCCTGGGAGAGGTTGAGTTATGTCCCCAAACCACGTCCCAGCTACCAGCCCTGTGTTTGCTGCTAGAAGGAGCTTGGGGAAGTGGAGGGAAGGGGCAGGTTGAAGGGGATGCCTACACATTTGGTCATCTCTGGTCGGTGCTCAAAACCCACCCCTGGACCCCCAGATCACTCTGCAGCTCCCCCCCGAGACCAGCTTGCAAACAGCCCCAAGCAGCCAAAGGGGCCATCATCCTGTCATGGGACAGATAGCAGCCCTACCTCAGGCAGGAAGCTGGCAGGCATCCACATGCCAAGACTTGACCTCTGCCAATGGTCCCTGCCCAAGAGGTGGCCTGAGCCTGGCTAAGGGAGCAGGGGGCATGCTGGTGCTGAGGAGCCTTGCTAGAGCCAGTGCAATGAGTTTCCAGGAGCACTAACACTCACCCAAGACACACCAACCCCACACATGCATAGGGCTAGCAGGGCACAGATCTTGGGCACCCACAGCTCCCATAGACACCCATACCAATCAGGCCCACAATTCTGCAGAAGGGCCTTTCTAGACTCCTTCTCTTAAGACTGTGTCTCACTCGGGTGTTGGCTGTGAAGAAGTGGCACAGCTCTAGCTGATGCACATGGCAGCAAGGGCCAAGGCCGTCGGGCTAACTGAAACATAGAGGTGGGAGCTGGTATTGCCTCAACTGCTGAGCGCAGCTGTTGTGGGGCTCTGTGGTCCCATCCCATGTGAAACACTCCTGTCTAACTCACTGGTGGCAACTGGCCCTTTGCAGATGACGACCCTGACAGCACCGTGGATGACCGGGACAGTGACTACCGAAGTGAGACCAGCAATAGCATCCCACCTCCCTATTACACCACCTCCCAGCCCAATGCCTCGGTCCACCAGTATCCCATGAGGCACCAGCAGCAGAGCTCCCGGGACTCGTACACGGATTCCATGCAGAGCTACGAGATGGACTATTCGGATCAGCGGCCAATCAGGTAGAGATGGGAAAAGATTGCTCCACCCCTTTAAAAGCAGAAGCGGGTGGTAGGAAGCCACAGCCCCTTCAGGGGAGAGGTTAGGGTAGCACCTGGTGACCTGGGAGATGGGTATGGTCTAGAGCGGTGGCAAAGCCAGACCCTCCTGCAGATACAGCTTTAGTGACTGATACAGCTGGGGCTGGTCCACAGTGGTGCCACATCCTAGCATGCTGGCTGGTCCCAGCTAGCCCCTCCAGCACCTTAGCTTTCTTTAAATCCATCAGGGGAACCCTTTCTGGCCCCTGACCCTACTGCTGTGCAGTCTGCAAAGGAGCAGGGACCCCCTGCCTCCCTCTGGGTAGGGTGTTTTAAGAGATGCCTGGTGATGATGGCAGCAGAGATATTCTCCCCTGTTTGCTGCTGCTCAGCTTAGCAGAGTCTGCAATTCTGGGGCTCTGGAGAGAGCTTGGGATGGTGGGAGTAGTTTGGAAGAGTAGAAGGGGCCTAAGTGAACACTACTTACACCCCCACCCCCCAACCTTTAACCTCCACTATTGTGAGATTTCCCAAGAACAAGGAAAAGCCCTTTGGGAGAGGAAGGTATGAGCGGTCCCCATCTGAACCCCAGGGGCACTCGGCACGTGTCGAGCAGGGGTGGCCGGGGAGGGTGCTGATCGGCATGTAGGAGCCTGGCAGAGGTGTGAGAGTGGGGCAGGGGCTGGAGCAGCAGAGGATGCTGCAGGGCAGGAGGAAGCCACAGAGCAGGAAGGTGGCAGAAGAGTGGCAGGTCTGTCAGGAGGAGCTGGCTCAGCGCCTGCCTCCCTTGCACCTGATCTCCGTGATCTCAGACCATCCTGGCTTCTTCATGAGCGTTCAGATCCAGGTGACTGATCCCCCACATCAGATCCTCCCAGATCTGATCAGGAACCCGAGCTGAGGTCTGACCTGGCCACACACACAGGCTCCCCTTTGCTCTGCCCAGATGGGATCCTCACCCCCCAGCTGCTTTGGCATGGGGGCGGACACTGAGGAGTGGCGGCTGCGGGGCCATGGCAGGAGCTCGTCTCTGTGGTTGCGTGTTTGGTTGTTGGTGACCTTTGCTGACCATGTTCCTCTCCTCCCTGGCAGACGCTACGATAGCGTAGATTCTGCCACAAACGGGCGCAGCGACGCTGAGTCCGCTTCCGAGTCAAGCAGGCGGACCAGCCGCCAGTACTCCCTTGAGAGCAGGCGGTCCCTAGACCTATCTGATAGGTGGGTCTCTACCTTGTCTCTAGCCTTGTGCCTTATGCAGAGTGCTGTGGTTGGTCCTTGCAGCCTGGGTTAGGCCGATACCAGTCCCGGCAATGGCAGCCCAACACAGTCCCTGGCATTAACAAAGTCCCACCACCATGTACCAAATTCATGGGGTAACATGTGACCTTGGAGGTGACCGGTGCAGTCTGCATTGCACACATGTCCAGCCACAGCAAGAGGTGCCTCTCTAGGGAGCCACCTGCCTCGTGTGTGCTCCTGACCTACGCTGGCACCTGCCCCACTGTGGAGACATTTTCTGAAGGACTCTCACTCAGGCAGGGACCCCTGGGCAGCAAAGCACATGTCTCAGGAGACCCCAGTGTGGAAGGCTGTGAGAACCTGAGGAGAGTTCAAGGTGTGGCTGGCTGAGACTGGACCCAAAGCCACTTGGCTTTGTCTCCTCCAGCCCCCAGTTGCTCCTTGAACTGTCCCCTCATCCTCTATCCACTCTAGTTTGCAGCCCCTCTCTTGGGCACCTGATTGCCCACTTAGGCCGTTCCGTGCTGTTCAGCCTAAGATGTCTCGGTTCAATCACCAGAGCATTCAAGCCCCAAGCCTACCACGGTACAGTGTAGAGAGGATAGTCCTTAAGTAGTGGGGTCACTCAGCCTATCCATGGTCTCCCCTTTCACTCCAGGCCAGGGCTGAAGCACAACCTGGGCTGGGAGAAGGGCAGGACACTTGTGTGAGGTGTGGTACAAGGGCTGTGGATGCTCTTGGGGCTCAGGTCTTCCACAAGACCTCCGGACCAGGAGAGAATCCCTTAGTGACCACGTGCCCTCCGATGGCAGAACTGATTTCAACCCCAGCTTTAGGGCTGCTGCCAATTCCCCTGTCTCACATATGTGCTTGGAGCAGCAAGGGGCCAGGTCTCATAGAGAAGCTGGTCATGAGACCATGCAGTGCATTTGAGGGCAATGAGGTTTGCTGGGGGAAGCAAAGGTCTGGTCCTGAACTTGGGGTTACAGCGTGAGGTCTGAGGCACTAGGTCCGTGCTCTTGTACATTAGGCCAGCCCTTTAAATTCTCTCTGGGGCCGAGCTTGCAGGAGGGCGACGCTGGGACCCGGAAGAGTCCAGGGCTGAGACCACACTCAAGTGGTGCTGGGAGAGCTCTGTTCTCTCTCCATCTCCCCTTCCCTCTCTGCCAAAATCTGGTTGCATCCCCTCCCTGACAGTCTCCCCAGTCCTTCTCTCCTTGAGCTGCCCAGAATTTCCCAGGTGCAGCAGCCTGGCCCTCCCACCAGCTTCCCGCAGGGATGGCACAGCCACATTCAGGCACGGGGCTCAGCCGGAGGGGATCTCATGTGTGCCTGCGTGTGCCCCTAAATACCGCCCCCACCTTGCTGCCGGTGCTGGAGATGTGGTATCGGCCTACCCCCAGGTGTGTCCCTGTACTATGTCTGCATGCGCGCTTACTGTGAACCCTCGGCTCGGAGATGCCGCCACCATCGCTGTGGTGCTCAGAGAACGGCACCCAGTTTTGTTTCTCCTTGTTTCCAGTGTTTGATTTGACAAGGAATCCCCTTTGCCCCTGGCCCCTCCCCGGCCCCACAGTCTCCCCCATTGGAGTCCTGCAACATTCCCATCCCTGAGCCCCAGTCTCAGTCCGTCATGAGTGGCCCTTGGGCCCATGTGTGTTATGGGTGCACAGGTGCTGGTGTAGGGGAAAGGGTGTGGCTGATGGAGGAGATACAAGGGAAAGGACAGCATGAAGCAGGGCAGAGAAGACCTGCATGGGGAGGAAGAGGGAGATGGGGGACTGTGAGGGCAGGAGGGATGGATGGAGAGGAAGGGATTTGGGAGGGCAGTAGAACCGCCTGCAAGCATTTGATGGGCAGAGGAGGGAGGAGCTGGGCGGGACAGAGGTGGTGGAGGACGAGAAGGAGCATGGCCACAGGTGTCACTTGTGTGAGGGGGATGTGGCTAGAAGGAGTGCCCCCAGGGCTGGGAGGAGCACAGGCAGGGGGTATGGAGAGGTGGGAGCGGCAGGGAGGCGCACATGGGACTGGGTGAGGAGTATGGAAAGAGTGCCCATGTCAGAAGGGGCATCTCCACGGTTGGGTTCAGGGTGCAGCTGCTCTGCAGCCATTGCTGGACGGTGTCGCTGCTGATCACCCATAGACTCCTGGTCTGTGCTGCCAGCTGAGGAGTGGCTGGGGGTTGGGCAAAAGGGGTCCTCTCCAAGGACCAGCTGGTGCTGGGGAAGCCTGGCCACCAGCCTCTGGTTGCCAGTAGCTGATCCCTACACAGCATTATTCCCTGGGGACTGCAGGCACCACGTGTCCTTGCCAAGGTACCCCAGGGAACCTCTGCTTTGGCTGCTGTGTGATCTGGAGAGTTTGAGCTGTCCTGACCTACCTCTAGTCACCGTGCACCCTAGGGTTGCCCTGGCTTAACTCCCTGTTCGCTCCACCCAGCTGTGGGGTGCAGGATTAAGGACATAGCAGCAGTATCCCAGGAGTCATTTAAGGCACCTGGTGCTGAGGTGCTGGGCTGCAAAGCTATGAAGCTTCCCCCTCTGGCCCCATCTGCCTGCACTACCCACTGCCAGCCGGGGGGTACCAGAGGCAGCCCTCTTGGACTGCTTCCCAGCATCAGACAGCACTACATGGAGACGAGGTTCCCAAAAGCCTAGGACCAGAGGCGTGAGGTCTTCGTCAGTGGCCAGACAGGGAGAGGTGCTGGCTGTGACTCAAAGGCCCTTTTAAGCCTCTGTCTTTCTCTCCCCTCCAACCCAACCCCTACCTGCCCCATGCAGCCCCACCGGGAGCAGCCGCTACGCCTCCTCTGGGGAGCTGAGCCAAGGGAGCTCCCAGCTCAGCGACGACTTCGACCCCGACGAGAGCCTGCGGGGCTCAGAGATTGACGAGCGGGATGGGGACTCCTACCACTCCTGCCACAGCTCGGTCAGCTACCACAAGGACTCACCCCGCTGGGAGGAGGAAGACGATGACCTCTACTTGGAAGAAGAAGATGAGTTCAATGAGGACTACAGCGAGAATGAGGAGGACTACCCCAAGGCCAAGGAAGACAAGCTGCAGGGCCGTGAGGCATACGAGTCCGAGCCCTTGGAGCGAGAGCCCTACCAGCAGCAGAAGCAGCCGGTGCAGCTGCAGCAGCTACAGCAGGAGTCATTGCAACAGAAGCCGCAGCTGCAGCAACAGGTCCCACCGCAGAAGCAGCAACAGGCGCCGCAGCAAGCGCAGCTACAGGTGCAGCAGGTGCAAGTGCAGCAGCAGCAGCAGCAGGTGCAGCAGGAGAGGAAAGAGGATAAGGCAGGTTATGCCCTACAGGAGACTCCAGAGGTCCCCCAGGAAAAGCTGGCAGAGGAGGAGCCCCCAGTCCCAGAGAAGGGACAAGAGCCTGAGCCCCCCAAACCAGAAGAGAGGTGAGGAGGAGGGGTGGGTGGCTGCTGGGAGGTGAAGGAGTGGAGCAGGTCTTCCCTCAAGTCTCCGTGCTGTCTGCTATCATGCTGGGCCAGGCAGCTAGGCCCAGGCGGGGTGAGCTGTGTGCTGGCCTGCCCTGGTTGATGGAGCTGTAACTGGGAGTCCTTACTGGCTTGGGACTCTGGCTGGAGCCAACTGTCCAGTCCCAGTGTCTCTTAAATGTGTGCTGCCTCAAGGCCGCGAGCCATAGCTCAGTGTACCAGCATGCACTAGGCCCACCTCTCTAACGCTCCCGTGGACGTGGCTCAGTCCGACGACTGCCCACACAGGCTGCTCCAGCATCCTGTGGCTAGTGGCAGGATCCTGTGGCTGGTGTGGACATAGCATGGCTCTCCCCAGCTGGGCTGTTTGGGAGGAAGCATCTAGTTCAGGGCCAGACTGGTGTCCCACTGAGGTGTGAGCTGCGCTCAGCTCAGCTCCTCTGTGTTGTGTGGGATGTAACCAGGCTGGCCGGCGTGTCAAGCCCCCTGCCCTGCGCAGTAGCATGGGGACACTCAGCCAGTCCCATTGTGGGAGAAGCAGTGAGCACAAGGCCAGAGTTATCCTATATAACTATGGGAGGATCATGAAAACCCACCAGAGTCAAGTGGGAAGAGTCCTGACTATGCCTATGCTGCAGTTGGCCACGTGACTCATTGCCTGTGGGCATATGTGGGGGTTAGCTGCAGCAAGGTTGGGTGAGGGTGGTTGCTAAAGACACAGTGGCACTAGCTGCGGTGAGGGTGAGTTACTAGCTCATACTGAAGTCTTTGCAACCACATCTTCACCACTTGTTTTGCCCAAGCTGGCTAGGTTGAAGCTTCACTCACACTCCTTGCCTTCAGTGTAGACATTGCCTCAGTTTTGCATATGATACAAGGCCTTTAAGATTACGCTTCCCTCCAACTCCTCCAGAAAGGCTGCAGGGCCTGAGAACAAACCCTGAGCTGATGCCTGGGTGCTTCATGCTCTTATGAAGAGCTCAGCCTGGTGCGAGTTGCATTGTCCACCCTCACTGGAAAGGGGCCTCTGATCCTGATTAGCATCTAAAGTAGGTTGTGGAATAAAGCATCCGCTATTGGACCGCTCCTCCAACAAAAAACGGGTGGGTGGGGCTGGGTAAGAGTTAAGGGGCTCTCATCGAGCCTGCTGGCATTTCTGCTAGCTGGGTAATGACTCCTTTTGGGCTGGGATGGAAAGGGATGTCCTTGGTTTGCCCTACACATAGGTCCATCAGGCAGGTTATGTGCCCAGGGGCCAAAGAAGAGTTTTTGGAAGCAGTCACCGTGCTCAGCCCCACTGCAAAACCCTTCCATTCCATACAGGTCCCTAGCGATCGATGGCATAGCTGAACATCCACCAAATTGTGGCCTTTATTTTCTTTTTCTAAATGTCTCTATGATTTTTAACCTGAAGACATTCTTTTCAGCCATTCACCCTTCACAAAGAGCCCACGTGGTTCCCAACCAGGCTCCAAAGCATGTGGTTTAATTCACCAGCCTGTGGTCACACAAACTCTGCACTGGATCGTGTGTTCCCGGAGTGAAGTCTCATGAACTGGAACAGAGTTCGACTGGAGGGTGCACGTTACACCTGGATGGTGTAGTCTGTAATAGAGAGGGGGAAAGAAAACTTTCTGCAAGACGGTTACCTTTCCGGGCTGTTGATAAGAGCCCATCCATAGCCTCCCAAATTAGAGATTATTCGGCAGCTCCATGCTGGTACAACATGTGACTAATGCACAAACATCAGTCTCTGCTTTTAATTATTGAACACATCTACTTTTCTATGGTTCAGTGAGCACAAACGCTCCCAAATGGAGGGGGAGCGGTGATGGGCTTCTTTTGGTTTCTTATTTTGTTTAAATTATAGGCCAGACTTTGCAAACCTCTGATTTACAAGAACACACATGGACGAGGTTTGGGGAACATGTTAAACAATTTTAAATTTACATATTTACAAAGGGGCTGAGGGTGACATGAGTCTCGGAGAGGTGGCCTCATTTTGCTTTTTCTCTGCAACGTGCTTGTAAAATGTGCATTGCTCACTCTCGTCCCCTCCAGCGGCTCCTCCATGTAAAAGACAACAGCCTGTTAATGCTGCCTAAACCTGGTAGATTTATTCCTTCAGGTCACATGAAAGCGGCCTGTTCTTTGGTGCTGGTGGCTATGGCATCAACCCCTGCTCAGGACCTATCCGGAGTTGTTTCTAATCATATTACTTTAGAGGGGATAAGCTTTAGATGGAAATCTTTCCAGGCCCTTTCTCATAAAGATCAGCAAAGCAGACACCTGGTATTGATCTTCGGTTAGGGTTAAACCAAACGCTTTGTGAGGCCGAAGGTTTTTTGGGTTATTTTTTTTCTTTCCCACTGCCTACTCTTCTGGGCATTTCATCATGGCCCGGTTTTGCCGGAGACCAGAAGCAAAAGTATAGAAATGCTGTGTCTACACTAGACATTTTCCTGACCCGAGTCCTGGCCTAATGAGTAGCTAAAAGAAGTTGTTATCTTTTAATCACGCTGCTGTGAGATTTCCTGCCTGGCTGGAAAACTCCCTGACTCATGTTGGGCTTTCTTTTCTACCCTTTAATTTTTGAAGAAGGGGCTTTGCCACCCCCACATCTGATGAAGGGCAATACCTTCATAACCCAGGAAACCCTCCTCCTTCCAGCATAATCAGGACGGGGGTGGCGTCCTTCTGCCATGGATGCCAATACTAGGGCTCATGTGTGACATATCTTTCCATCCATCCATCCCTGCCAGACACGGGCATGTTGCCTGTAGGTAATGGCATGGTCTTGGATGAATTCCAGGCTGGGGTTGGTGCGTTCTCAGCAGCACGTCCCCGGCAAGCTGGAAATAAATGGTCCATGTAGTGTTGGGTGAATGGTTGAAAAGAAAAACCAGATGGAGACCTCTCCCTCTAAGTCCTGGCCTCTGGAGCCAGATCCCTCCAGGAAGGACTTTGGGTTTGCAGGAAAGGTGCCTGAGTGGGCATGCATGTACATGACTGTGCTTTAGCCTGGGCTGGGCCTGAGCCCCTGTCCCTGAGCAATGCCCCATTCGGTGACTGATCTGTCTGTCCAGTTACAGAGAGAGGGAGGAAGTGGAAGTTCAGGATGCCAAATCCCGAGCCAAAGCCAACTGGCTGAGGGCATTCAACAAAGTCTGCATGCAGCTGCAAGAGGTGAGTGAGCTCCTTCTGCGTTCCCCGCTCCCCCCACCCTCCCTCTTCTTAGTTAGAGGGGACTTTAAAAAGTGGATGAGCAGAAGGGACAGATGATTTGCCATAGGCAAGTCTGTTCCAGAAAGGAAGCCACTGAGACTCTAATGGGAGCTGAACTAGATGGCCCTTGAGGCCCCTTCCAGCTCTGCAGTACCTGCCTGCCAGGCTGGGGAATGAGTGTTAGCAAAGGGAGAGCCTCTTGCAGCCCTGGGTCATGAGGGCTTGAGGTTCCTAACTTAAGGGGAAAACTCCTCTAATTTCTCCCTTCCACCCATATCCAGAGCCACCAGGGCTTCCCCAGGTGGGGCTAGGTGCTCCTCACCTCTGGCCACATAATGCCAAGTTCTACAAAACCACCTTTGATGTTAAGAGCAAGAAGGTTTCTTTGTAGAGAAGGAATGAGCTGTTGCTACTTTTGGCCCCACCGGGGCATTTTAGTGCCTGGCACTAGAGCACTGGAGCTGGCTGGCCAGGGTTAGGGATACCTGGAGCCAATGGGGAAAGGAGGGATGAGATGAGGGGGCTTTGGACGCCCCCAAAAGAGCCTTCCTGAATCGTCATGTGCATCTGCCTGACTCTACACATCCTTGTTCTCCAGAGCAAGCTTGGCTTTTACAACAGGTCAAGCGTGTACAGCACCAGTGCAGGCAGAGTGGCTCCCAGGGAATGGCAGTGGCAGGCACACCCGGGTGAGCTTCCTCCTCCCTGGCGTAGGTAGCAATTGCAGTGAAGATGCGCCAATGTGGGCTCCACTGCGGGCAATACAAGCCCAGCCAGGCCCCAGGGCACGTGCTCAAGTGGCTAGGCTGAGCTGAAGCTTGTCCTGCTGTTACCAACACTGCCGCTAGCTCTGGGACACTCGCCCACACCTCCAGCTGCAGCGCGGGCTCCCCAGTGGGCACAGAGCTCAGCCCGCGTGTGCTCCATGGCGTGGCAGTCTGTCAGTGCTGCTCCCTTGCCCTCGTACCTTCTGTTCAGTTGACAATTTTTTGTTCTGTTTTTAGACTCCATCCTCCATCTTTCTTTTTTCTTTGGGCTCCGGATTCGCCCCCTGGGGCTTTGGTTTCCCTCCCCACCGCTTCTCTTTTCAGTTGTTCACCACCATGGTCCTTGTGTCCACGTCCCCCCCTTCCCATGGGGAAGGGGTGTAGCATGCATGCAGGTAAGCGTGTTTGGTTTAAGCCCTCCTCCCTGGTGCTGTGTGTACCCATCCTGGGGGCTGCGTGTGTGCAGGGAGGATAGTGGTGCCATGCTCCGGGGGGCTTTATTGACATGGCATCCCCTTCATATTCGTGTCCCCCTCACAAAATTTCTTGGCAAGGGAAAAAATGTGCCGAGAGAGCAAAGCTGATGGTGGCTACCTGGCCTCTGCATGCACCCCTTTGTAGCACGACCCAAGTAGAGGTCGTTTCTGATTCTGTTTGGTTGCTTCCAGGCTCCCCTAGCCCATGCACTGTGATCAAGCTGCTAGCAAAGGGTTAACCGGCTCTGTCCCACTGCTAGGTAGCAGCTTGTCCCTGCTGCTTTGCTAGACTCTGTGTGGATGGAGGTCTGTGGGTCTCATTGCTCCCGTTCATGCAGTCAAATTTAGCTGTGATTCATCTCAAGACTGTCATACGTTGTTCTCCTGAGGCAGCCTCCTCCGTGGGGACATCCTTGTCTGCTTCAGTCGATACGACGTCTGCTGCCCTATGCAATCTCTTCCCAGGCTTCCCCAGGTGCTTGTGAGCATCAGCTGGGGACGTGTTCTGAAATGCAGCCATGTCCCAGTATATCTCCTGCCTATGGCTCATCCCAGCTCTGTCTTTTTGCTATTAATGCTGTGCTGAAAGTCACATGCCTTACAGCAGGTAACTCTGAACTTTCTGTCTTGCAGGCTCGAGGTGCTGGAGAAGCTAAGTCTCTCTGGTTCAAAGGCGGGTGAGTAAGAGGGTTATCCTGAAATCCTTGTCTCTCCCAGCCCTGTGGCACTTGCCCAACCCTTCTCTGCTGTCTGGGATGAATGCTGATTAAGAAACTCCTGGTGCTGGCAGTTCCAGTGACCGTGCATTCATAAGCTAAGGACAGAGCAGTGTGCAGTGGAGTGCAGGAGGTATCGAAGGGTAGAGTACCTCCACCCATGACCGTGACAACCATAAAGCCACTTGCTTTTCAGAGATGGGCCTCCATGGTAGCTTGTTGAAGTGGGCATGGAGTGAGACACGGCAGATGCTGTGTCTTTAAGGGAAGGCACTAGGGACCCTGCCTGCCTGTGCCAGGACCCTTCCAATTAGTTGTCTAATGGAGAATGCTACCCAGCAAACCACCCCCACTTCTCCACTGGAACGAACTGGTTGCAAACGTGCCAGTGGGAGAGCACCAGGGGGCAGAGGTGGGGAGAAAGGTTGAGTTGCAGAGGGCTTTTGCCTCCTTTCAGGGCTCCAAGTGCCTGGCATAGGTTGCACTGGTGCAGGCCATACCCTTTACCCCCAGGGCATATTAAGTATAGAGCTTCCTCTGGAGGCAGCATGTCCCAGGCCCACATCCAAAGGCTTTTGGGAAGGACTGTGCCTGGCAGACTTCCCCAAGGCCGGGTTCAGCTGGGAGCTGCCTGCCTGAGATGAAGAAGTGGAGACATCTTTGTCCTTGAAATGGCAAAGTGCCCACCTGGAGAAGGCCAGCATGGATCAAAGAGGAATGTGCCAGCCTTCCCTTGAGCTGAAGCATGATGCAGAAACAACACCATCCCTTGGTGAAGGATGCAGTGAACCTGCCAACCTTGAAGTTTGGTCTCAGTGGGACTCATTCGAAAGACACTGAAGTGAAAGCCCAGTGATATGTTCCCTTTGCATGTCTTTCATAAGACACTGGACTCACCTGTAATGGATCTAAAGGGAGTTTCAGGACTGAGGCTGGTGGATGCAGACAGACCCTGTGGTTGTCTCTGGCTGGCTGTGCCTCTGCTTGGAGACTCTAAGACCTGGCCAGGAGTAAGTGTTCATTGGATCTAGTTAGAAAACCAAACTGGCCAGTGAGAAATTTCAAATGAAAAATCATGGCTCACAGGTTTTCAGTGGGGAGCTCTGGGGTTTTCAGAAGGAATTCGTTCCCCACTGTGATTCATGGCAACTTTGAATCAGAAATCCCAAACAAAAGGAACTTTTCTATTTCAGCTTAAAAAGCTGCTTTATTTTGACTCTGGAAAAATCAAATGAAACCCCGTAAGATCCAGCAAATGTTTTTCTTTTGAATCAACTTTTTCCGTGTAAAATGTCGATTTGTTTTGTTCGGGACTGAGAAGCCAAAGCAAACGACATTCAAAGTCCAAAGGAACATTTTTGCTTTGTGTTGAAATGTCACCTGGAGATAAAAATGGTTTTCACATTGGGGAGGGGAGGGGATGGGACGAGATTTGGGGCTAGAACTGATCTTTTCCCCTGAACATTTCCATTTCCATAACCCCCTCCTCCCCCCACCACACATACGCACGTCTTTTCTTAGCGGAAATGCTTTCTGCACACGCTGTTTGGATCTGCTGTGATAGTGCTGGAGGTGATCGTGCTGCAGGATGGGTGAGATTCCTCACTAGCAGCCCCTTAGCTTCATCACTGCCAGGCAGCCGGAGTGGGGGTGACATGTTGTCATGTATTCAGAAACCCAAGGTACAGCCTCTGTTTCCAGCATTTTCAGCTCACACCAGCCTGGGAGCAAAATTCCAGGATTCAACATTTACAAAAAGGCTCAAACTTGCTGAAATTCTCTTTTTAAAAGAAAGCCTCTTCCCAAAGGGAAGCTCAGCTTTGCCGTGGGCACTGTCTGAGCGCATCCTGCAATGAGTTTGCCTGCAATAAATGAATGCTGAGCAGAGCCCTTGGAGCTGAAGGAGCTTGCGCTATGTTGCCATTCCTCCCCCCAGCTTCTGGGTACTGTCCTTTCTTCCTGGTCACGTCCCACCTACCATGTCATTTATGTCACACTTCCCCCTGGACTGTGACTGCAGGCCCCTGGAGGAAGGGGCACCACTGGAGTTGCAAGGTGCTCATTGCATCCAAATTAAGGCCTGGCACTCAGTTTTCCTTCTATTTGGCACTTTGGGGGGCAAACCTGCCTGCCAGGCAGGGTGGAGTTGTGGGGGGTGGTACCCACAGGACAGGACAGGGGATGGAGACTGAGACAGACTGTGATCCGGCTCGGCCCAGTGGATCCACCTTCATGCTCATCTATTGTCTGCTGCCCCTGAAATGCAAGGGCCCAGGTATGGCAGGTTGTTGCAAGGTCACAGTAACAGCCTAGGAGCATCTCCAGTGGGCAGAACGCCGGCCCCCATGTGCGTGGCTGTGTGGGTGCTGGTAGTTTGATGCAAGTGTGTGTGTGTGTGTGTGTGTGTGTGTGTGTGTGTGTGTGTGTGTGTGTCTCCCTCCCTTTCCCTTATCCCTTCTGACTCTTGTTGTCTCTCTTCCAGGCCTGGCGGTGGGCTAATCATTATTGACAGCATGCCCGACATACGCAGGAGAAAGCCCATCCCCCTAGTTAGTGATTTGGTGAGGTTCCTCCTAATATCTTCTCCCCAGCAGCCGCTGGCTTCTATGGCTGATCTGCTCCGGGCGGCTGGAGTCCATCGTGGATGTTGCCTGAGCTCACTTAACTCCGGGGCTGCCGGGATGCGAGTCTGTGTAGCGGAGTCCTTGTTCTCTGGCCCCAGCCCTCCCTTAGCCCAGCTCTGGCGCTCTTTGCCCTGTGGCCTCGCTCGCTTTGTATAACGTGGCTTTATTTCTGTTCTCTTTTCTTGGGTATGGTCTGGCTGCATTTATGCCACAGGGGAGCGGCAGTAAAGTTTCTGCGTTGCATTGATAGCATGCCCGACATTAGGCCCGGACGCAAGTCCCTGCCGCTAGTCAGCGATCTGGTGAGCGTGTGGTCCTTTGGGTTAAAGAGAAAGCACCCAGCATATCATCTCCCTTCTCCTCACCTCCCCCAGCCCTGCCAAAACCCTCCTCTGGGCCCCGGCAGGCTAGCAGTGGGGAGGGAGTGGGGCTGCTGCTTCATGACAGGTGGCATTTGGGGATGGGTCTGGCCAGCACCAAGCAGTGAGGCAAGAGCAGCATTAGAGCCACATCTCCCTGTGTGTCAGTCCCCAGCTGGCTTCAGTGGAGATGCCCCCTGTCCATTCAAATACAAGCCTCTCTGCTGCAGCTTCACCAGCAAAGAGCACCAGCTCATATCTGTTGTGGGGGCTATACTGTGGAGGATAGGTATAAAAAGCTCCCCCTATTGTAGGGTTGCCAACCCTCCAAGTCTCCAGGAATTAGATGTATATCTCCAGGAGACAACCGAGAGTCACCCGGGAGATAAATGATAGAGCATTTATTAAAATTATATATTAACTGTGGAATCCAATTTATACAGTAGTCCAGTAGGTTTTTAAAAATGTAATAGTAATGTGCCTTCCTAATGCAAAGTCTATGCACCATAATCTGTACCTGATATATGTAAGCACATGGGCACATTGGCATTGTGTGTTGTGGGCACGTTGGTGCTCCAGAAACCTGAAATAGATTCAAACAGAGTTGGCAACCCTACCCCCAAAGTGTAGACCGGGGACCTTAGGGCACATCTGAGGACCGTTCACATCCCAGTGCTGCCGGAAACAGTCTTGATTGATTGGGGGTGGTTGGGGAAGCCCTAAAATGTGTAGCGAGAAGGTGAGCGTGAAAATCATTAGACACATCTACATGAGACGCTTACTAAGTGGTAGCCTAATAACTGTGCAGTAGCGTGCTGGTCAGAAACTGTGCTAATATGCTACTGCTCAGTGTTATTAGGTGATTGTGCAGTAACCGTCGCAAAAAAAAATGTGCGCTAGTGCTATTGCACAGTAACTGTAGTTACTGTGCATTTAGTTTAGGACTTCATTAAGGAAGTACTAAACTAAATGCACAGTAACTACTGTGCATTAATGAACGCGTAGATGTGCCCACTGAGATTGGTAAATGAGATGGCTTAGCTCTGAAGTGGGCCTGAGTGGAGAGGTTTAGGTCTAGATCTGAGCCTCATAGGACCTGAAACCACTCTGAACCAGATGGCCTAGTTTGGGGCTCCCTCTGTTAACCAGTGCACTTTATAAATTAGGCTACTCTCCAAAGCAGACAGCGTCCTGAAAGGAAGTTGGCATGGCCTTTTCAATGGTGCACTTCACACCAGCCCTGGGGCCCTGGGAGAGGGGAGAGCCTGCTCTGAGCCCATGGAGGAGGGTTTGTCTTCATGTAATTGTTTCTAAAGGGCGCTTTCTCTTTAACAGAAGTTGTCAGGACCTTGTCCCGTAAGGGACATCAGTCTGAGTCCTTCTGTGATGGCAACTGGTTTTGGATTTTGTTACTTGGTTCCTCACAACTTCACAAGCACACTGGAAAATCCTCCCCCCACGTAAGCTGTGCCCCCGGCGTGCTCCCCATTGCACAGCACAGAGCCTGCATCATCCAGCGTACTCCTGTAGTGTGCAGCGTATATGCTGCCTTCTGGGTCACGCCACCATAATTCAAACCACGGATCCCACTAGAGTCAGCGTGCTTTTGTAATCTAAAGCATACGCACCACAACACGCAGGCAGGCACAGCTGCATATCGTTACAGCCAGTGGGCTCCTGTAATTAAAAACGTGCCTGCTTCTCTAACCAACGTTCCCATAACTTAGAGCCTATACAGTCCAAGCTGCAGGGTGTTGCTCTTACTCACAGCGCACCCTGATCTTTTATGCTGTTATAGTGAATGCTCCTCTGTAATCCATAAATAGGCCCTGCTACCTGTGGCACGCTCCTGTAGTTTGCAAATCATATACTGTGTACATAGACCTGAACTGTAATTCCTGGCCTATATTGACTTTACTGTGCACCACAGTAACCAATCATCCATGGGACATGTGGCGCTACCTGACACTCCTCTAATTCCCAGATTATACACTGCTGCATATCTTACTAGCATTCACAGTACACTGCAGCTCCAAAGCCAATCCCCAGACCAGTGCAAGCCCCAGCACTGCTGACAGCCCCTATCGTGGGAGTACACAGTCTGCTTGCCATCACTCTCACTGGTGACAAAGGAAGACAAAATTGGAAACCAGCCCCTTGTTCCACTCAGACCTGAGCTCCCTCTTTTCCTCTCCTCCCCATGGATCCACTGGGTTTTCCTGTGCTTTACACACACGTTCCCAGGGGTTTGGTCCTATTCCCTCACGTTGCCTTGCCTCGTTCCTGTGCTGCTTGTCTGTGTCCCTGCTTGCTGCTCTCGCCTTGGCTCGGGAGGGCAAGCCATGGCTGATGCCTCCGTGCTGCGTGTTGTGTTTGTCTCTCCATGTGGGTGATGGAAGGATGCTGGGTTGGGAGGAGGGTGGTGAGTGGGAGGTTCCCTAATGGGTCATATACTATGCTGTGTCTGGACTGGACTGTGCAGTAAGCAGAGGGGCATGTCCAATGGTGGGGGGTGGCCAGTTGGGCTAGCACGCTGCTAATGGAAATGGCTTTCTGCATGGGGATGCATTTTATCTTCCCATCCTTAGGCCGCTTTGCCTTTAGCACCCAGACTCCCTTTCTTGAGAGCTCCCTACAGCCCTGTCCCTTGGAAGGATTCCCAATGGCTGGGCTGGCTCCAGTTACCTAGGAAGCAAGCTGGTCCTCCCAGGCAGCCATGCCCAATGAGTAAAGCTGGGACAGGCCTCTTTCCTCCCAGAGGGAAGCATGTGCTATTTGCCGCTGGCAGCTGGGAGGAGTTGGCAGAGAGGACCCAACCTCCATCTCTGGGTCATGCCCACCTCTGAGTCTCAAGCTGGCTGCCTCCGATCCAGGTCTGAATTTTGGAAAGCTTCTGTTCAGCGGAGCTGCCACCCTGAGCCCCTGGGCGGGGAGGGAGAAGTCACTGGTGGCTGAGAGCCAGGGTACAGGACGGAGAGGAGGCCAGCTCTGGGACAAAGACCAGAGAGTTACCCAGCAGGGGATCAGTCTCTTTTCCCACCATCTCTTCATGGTGTGTGGTAGGGGGGAGGGCATGACTTGCCTGTTTGAAATGCTCACCTTGCTGTTTCTTTCCCATCCCTGTGGCTCTTCACTGCATGCAGGCCATGGTAAGTACTGCATAGCTGTCACACCTTCCGTGTGTTTCTTGCAGGGAAGATATAGAGCTTTAAACTGAGTCTGCCACAGTTGTGAGCACTGAGCAGGTCCAGCATGATGTGCCCAGGTGGGCTGAGTTAGACTGAGACCAAGACGCATATTCTAGGGGGAGGGCCTCTTCCCCTCTGACACCACCCTGGGGTGGTAAGGAAAAGTGGGTCCAACAAAGAGCAGTGAATTGGCTCTTATCTTACCCTGTGTTGTGAGACAGGCCTGGAGTTGGGGTCAGCTATGAACATCACCTGGGGCTGAGGATCCTGCAGTGCAAGCACAGCACTGCTGGGAGCAGGCTGGGGAGAGGCTCCATGCCTTTGGAGAGGCTGTTTTGTGCCCTGGAAGGAAGAGCTGGGCAGCTCACCCTCATCCCTTGGCCTTCAAAAGCCTCCAGGCAGGGGGAGGGCAGGGGCTACAGACTGCCTGTGCTTCTTCCCGGCTCATACACCTGTTCATTTTGTGTCCTTCCAACAGTCCTTGGTCCAGTCCAGGAAAGCTGGTATCACGTCAGCATTAGCATCAAGCACCTTAAACAATGAAGAGCTAGTAAGTACTGTCCCTGCACACCTACCACGATACTCTTGTGGCCTTCAAATGCTCTGCCTTGGACTGTGGTCTTGTCAAAGCTTGAAAGCTATGCAAGGTCAGGCTGGGTCTTCTAGGAGATAGGGGCCTGCAAAGCAGGGGCCGTGTGCTGTGGGGAAGAGGTGTTGGTCCCTCCGTGTTCCCAAGGCAGCACAGGGGGCTCTGACGGGCTCTGCGGTGAGAGGTGGCCTCTCTTAGAGGGGGCCAAGCCAGCCTGGCTGCTTGTGGCTGGTAACAGTCTGGGAGTCAGGGGACCATTCCCACTTTGGGTTGGTTCCTTCTTCCTGCTGGGGGCTTCAATTCTTGCCCTGTTGAAAGCTGCCGCTCGCACCCCAGAGGTGGCTGCACTTCTGTTCTCTCTTCTCTTCCCCTCTAGAAAAACCATGTTTACAAGAAGACCCTTCAAGCCTTAATCTACCCCATCTCTTGCACAACCCCCCACAACTTCGAGGTGTGGACCGCAACCACACCCACCTACTGCTACGAGTGCGAGGGCTTGCTGTGGGGCATTGCTCGGCAGGGCATGCGCTGTACAGAGTGTGGGGTGAAATGCCACGAGAAGTGCCAAGACCTGCTCAATGCAGACTGCCTACAGAGTAAGGGAGCGATGCTGTGGCTTTCCCTCTTCTGGAGAATATCGTGGGGTGGGAAGTGGGTTTTTTTTTTAAGGGGCCAAGGTGACTTAGGGGCACAGGTCTTGGGCCATGTGTATGGGATACTATCATATGCCCTCCCCCATGCACAGACCACCCTTAAGTCTTTAACCCCTGGGACACGAATGCTTGGGAAGAGGCTAAGCCTAGGTCAGCCCTTTTCAGAAGGTCTGGCCCAGGATTGTATCCATTCATTGTTTCTGCCCCCTGCCACTTTCCATCACCCCAGGAGCGGCTGAGAAGAGTTCCAAGCACGGGGCAGAGGACCGGACCCAGAACATCATCATGGTGCTCAAGGACCGCATGAAGATTCGGGAGCGAAACAAGCCTGAGATCTTCGAGCTGATCCAGGAAGTCTTTGGTGTCTCCAAAGCCACCCACACACAGCAGATGAAGGCGGTGAAGCAGAGCGTGCTGGATGGCACCTCCAAGTGGTCGGCCAAGATCAGCATCACGGGTAGGCATGAGCACAGCCTGACATGTTGGAGTGATGCACGGACATGTTCCCCAGCGAATACATGGGTGCCACTGATAAAGAGGGCGATGGGCTTAGAGTCCAATCCTCAGTGCTCTCCTGGAGGTCTGCTGATGTCATTTTACCATAGTAAGGTTGGAGCTGGAGCTATTGAGCACTGCTCTAGCTTTCCAGGACAGGGACACAGCACCATGTGCTAGAACATCTTAGATCCCAGATCTTGGCCACAGTAATGGGTGACTGCAGGGGTTCCAGCTCCCAGCACACAGTATCCCATCCTGAGCCAGTTGAAATTGGGTTAAGATAGAGGGTTGCATGCTGGCACCTGCATAAGCCAGGGCAGCAGGTCCCTGTCACAGAGGCTCTTTACCCCTGGGGCTGTGCCTGTAGATCTGTACAAGCCAGGTTTGTCTGCTTCTATGGCCAGTTCAGGTATGTCTTGCTCCAGATGGGCTGTATCCATCAACGGGGTAGGTATCTGTGATCTGCTGTCAGCAAAAACTGTGCCATGTGTGTGTCTCCCAGAGGTCTGGGGCTGGGGATGGTCCTCCCTCTGGGAGCCAGCAGCTGCCTTTGACAAAAGGAAGTGAATTCCCATCAGCACCTGGACAGCCCCAGCTGGATGACATGGACCAGAAAGCAGAGTCGGAGTCAGGCTCCTCTGTGCAGCATCTGCTGATTTGAAAAATCTCATGTTGCTTGATTGTTCTGTATCCACAATTGATTCCTGTTTTTATTTGTTCTCTCCATTGTGTGGGTATGTGTTGTGCCTGAATGATGTGTGCTGCCATGTGTGTCCATATAAATATTGTGCCTTTGTGTGTATGGACCGTGTGTATGTGTGGTGTTATAGTTGTTTGTGCCCAGGGCCTGCAGGCAAAGGATAAGACAGGCTCCAGTGACCCGTATGTTACTGTCCAGGTTGGAAAGACGAAAAAAAGGACTAAAACTATCTACGGAAATCTAAACCCCGTCTGGGAGGAGAATTTCCATTTGTAAGTTATTTCTTACCCTGCTCTCAGCCCTAACTCCCTGCTGCCAGCATAGCCTTGGGTTTCCTCATCTCAGTCGCATGGTTTTGGTCACCTGGCCTAGCCCTGAGTCATCTCTCTGTCTGTCCTGGAGATTGCCAGTGCCCACGGTGACCCGGTGCTAAGTGAGAGTAGAGGAACTGGAGCAGAAGCTCTGTAGGTCCCAATGCATCTTAAGCACAGAGTAATTCTACTGAGGTCCATGGTGGTGCTGGGGTATGAAGCAGGCCCCTTTGACTGCTCTGCCTGTGTTTAGTGAGACCTTCTTTAGTTGTGGCATAAAAGAACCAGAAGCACTGTCATTCATGGCTCTCAGTCAAGCCTACAGAAGATTTGGGTGGTGGATTGGGAAGGGATGCCCCAGGCCTTGCTGTGATATTAATCTTACCCTCAGTGTGTCAGAAAACCTGTGGTTTTAGTTCTGGGGCTTTATGCCACATTAAATCTCCATCCTCACACCCCCTGGAGCTACGATCTCCTACAGGAGGCCTCATCTTACCTTATCTTGGCATCTGTGATGGCCTGCTCATGCCGGAAGGACCGTGAACGTTGAAGTCCCCTCTTCTCCTAGAGGAAGAGCCTCTGGGTCAGAATTGCAGTGGGCACAGGATTGCACCACAGCTGCTTCCCCGGACCCACTCATCCAACCCCAACACTTAAGGGAGCCTTATGGAACAGGACTGAAATGATTTGAGGAAACTATAGAAATACTCAGTTCTTATCTAGTGCCCCTCAGCTGCAGCTCTCAAAGTACTCCTCATAGCCCCATTTTATACTTGGGACAACTGCGGCAGAGAGCAAGGACTTGCTAAAAGTTACCCAGTGGCAGAGATAGGACTGGAACCCAAGTCTCGGAAGTCCTGGGCTGGATGGAGTAGGGCTGCTCTGGGTAGGTAGCAGGGAGGAGCAAGAAGGGTCTTTGCTCACTGCTCTGGGAATCTTTCTCCCTTGCAACCTGCAGTGAATGCCATAACTCCTCTGATCGGATCAAGGTCCGGGTCTGGGATGAAGACGATGACATCAAGTCTCGTGTCAAGCAACGCTTTAAGAGAGAGTCCGATGACTTCCTGGGACAGACGATCATAGAGGTCCGAACACTGAGTGGCGAGATGGATGTCTGGTACAACCTAGGTAAATGCCCTCCCCAGATCCCCAGCCCACCCCAGCCTCCCCCTGGGGATCTGCTTCTGCTGGGCTGCAAATCATACCTTGAAGAGCCTTTCAGAGCATAGGTGCCAACTTTTATTTTTGCTGGGGGTCGGGCTAAGATGTGCCCCGCCGTGGTACACCCAGAGCAGAGCCAAGCGGAGCCCGTGGCGGGGGGGCAGGGGCAGATGCAGGCTGCCTGCTGTGGGCTCAGGGCTCCCTCCCTGCTGCCATCCTCTTGGGAGCCCTGTGCCACCATGGTGAGGTACCGCCTACCCAGCTGGCAGCAGCAGGGTGCACAACTTCATGCCACTGCCTCTGCTGCTGCCAGATGGGCAGGGATACCTTGCCATGGCGGTGCAGCAAGCGTGGGGCTCCCAGGGGCAAAGCAGCAGGGCAGGGAGCCCCAAGGCTACAGTAGATAGCCTGCACCCACCTCCACCCTGTGCACAAATCTGGGGGGCATGTGCCCCCCCACACCTCCCTCTGTGGGAGTGTATGCAGCAGTGGGGAGCCATCCCATCCCGCCTCGGACAAGCTGCCTGTGGCTCTGTCCCGCTCCCTGCCCTGGTCCCAGGTCCCACGTACCGCCCTGGCCGGGCAGCACCCCCAGCCCAGCCCCCGTCTCACTCCCTCCCTCACCACAGGGGCCTCAGTCTGCACCCCCTCCGTAGACTTACCTGCAGGCAGCTGGGGGAGTCGCTCTCCACCATTGCCTGAGGCTGTATCCCTGGCCGTGTGCACATGTGTACGTGGTGCCCCTGCATCCCACTGCCCTGAGCCCCTTGCAAGCTGGAACTCGGCCAGCCTGCAAGGGGAAACCCGCCATGTCCTGCATTTTTCCAGGGTGAATGGAAAACCTGGATTGCTGCACAATATTGGGAATCTGGGACAAATTCTGTCCCGCAGTCATGCAGCCCAGGACCGGGACTGGACGTTCCCATTTTGGGACTGTCCCACGCAATTAGGGATGGGTGGTCACCCTACCCTCTTCCCAAAGGGGGGCCAGGACCCCCACATACTCAATGCCTGTGTTTCAGAATTAAACACTGTAGGGCTGATTATTGCCACTTATTATTCACCGTGTAGATGTGATTTATTACCTTATGTATTTATTAGCACATCACTGTACTATCGAGTGGGTCAACGATTCCTAATGGTTAGTTAATGATAATACTCAGCTCGCCTGTGGCACTTCTCATGTCATTTGATGTCCAAGCACTTTACAAAGGAGGTCAATGGCATGATCCCTGGTTTCACAGACAGGGAAACGGAGGCATGGGGCAGGGCAGTGATTCAGGTTTCGGATGAATTTGTGTCTCCTGAGTTCCCATCCAGCATTCTAGCCACTAGGTAAAATTTCTTCCCCATACGTGTATGACAGTAGCACCTAGAAGCTTTGTTGTGCTCGGTGCTGTACATATACAGAGTGAGAGAGTCCTGAGCCAGAGAGCTCGCACTCTAAATAGATCAGGCAGACAAAGGAAGTAGTATTATCCTGCATTATGGATGGGGAAACTGAGGCACAGAGCAAGGCAGGGAAGTCCCAGACCTCTCCTTTACCCCCACGCCTGTTCTCCACGGTGCTTTTCTCTCCTCTGGGGAGGCCCATAAAGAACCTCATGTTTGTCCGTTTCCCTCCCTTCTCTCAGACAAGCGAACGGACAAGTCGGCCGTGTCTGGAGCCATCCGGCTTCACATCAGCGTGGAAATAAAGGGGGAGGAGAAGGTGGCTCCGTACCATGTGCAGTACACGTGCCTACATGAGGTGAGTGGGGGGGGCCTGTCCCAGGTGCCCGGAGGGGCAGGTTGGTGAGCTTGGAGAATGACATCCTACAATGGCCAACCCAGCATGGCAATAGCTGAGGATGCTTCTGCCGTGCCCTGCCTCATGTCTGTGCCTCTGCTGTAGCCCAAAAGCCTGGATATAAAGGCACCGAGGGCTAGTATACCTTGTCCCCATCACCAGAGCATCCCTTCCCCTTACAGTCTTCAGGTCTGAGTGCCTGCGTGCAACAGAGTAATACAGGGCCTCTGATATATGTGGGGGGGTCAGGAATCCCCACCACTCACACCAGCCCCTAGTTTAAGCCCCCTCCACTGCACCCCTAAGGGATCTGCTCTGTCCCCTGCCTCAGAACCTCTTCCATTTCGTGACGGACTTACAAAACAACGGGGTGGTGAAGATCCCCGACGCCAAGGGGGACGATGCCTGGAAGGTGTACTTCGACGAGACGGCCCAGGAGATCGTGGATGAGTTTGCCATGCGGTACGGGGTGGAGTCCATCTACCAGGCCATGACGTGAGTCTCTGCCCTTTTGCCCCCTGTCTATCTGAGGGTGATTAGGGAAGGGTGGGTAAATGGCACAGCTGGTGGGCCGGATCCTCAGCTGCGGCTGGTGGGGGGCAGCTCCATTGAAAATAGTGAGTGACACAGTTTTATATCAGGCAGACACGTGGGACCTACAGAGATCCCCCTTCCCTTCTGCTTCCTTAAGTGGTTGGTGAGTCACTCGGGTACTCTGGGAAGGGTCGTGCTGATGTGATGGTACAGGGTTCAGTCTGCACCGCACAGGCCCTCTAAAACCCACAACCTATGCCCTGCACACACAGACCCCACCCCATAGACCCATGCACCACATGCCTTAGCTTCTACCCTGATACATGCAGCTCTTAAAGTTAACACACAGATCTTGGATTGGCCTCCTCAGTGTTGCTCAGACCGACCAATGACTCCCCTGTGAATTGGAAGACTCGTCCACGTATCGAGGGACTGCCACCACCACTGACACACACATACACACTGCAAAGTGAACCTCATGGCCCACAGCCTACCCACACACACCCCTTCGATACTGTGCACACATACACTCCATACCACCCCGCTTCCATAATACTGCCATTGACTGGGTCAGACCACAGGTCCATCTTGTGCCATATCCTGTGTCAGTGGCAGAGGGTGGATGCTGAAAGGGAGAGTGAATTAGCTATGACCGGGGTTTTTTCCACTGTTCCTCTCTCCCTTGCAGCCTCTAGTATTTAAGATCTAGGAAGTTCTAATTCGGAAGCTGTATCCCTAAATCCCAGGCTCAATAGCCATGTCCGTTGTACATGCTGTACAAAGCGTACCGTAATACATCATTGTATACACTGTACACCCATTTACCCCATATAACCCCTTCCAACATCCCCCAGCATACACTGCATGCATATATACACCCTCCCTACACTTCTCTGACACATCCACACCACATACTGCCTCTACACCATGCCCCGTGTACACCTCACCCTAGACCCCTCTCACACGTACAAACCTCACCAGACCATTTGTGAAACAGCTCCAGCAGCCTGGACCCTACGCGGCCTCAGTGCACTCACTCTGCAGGATGTATTTCAGCCTCTCATCCGTTCCCTTTCAGCCACTTTGCCTGCCTGTCCTCTAAATACATGTGTCCCGGAGTGCCGGCGGTGATGAGCACCCTGCTCGCCAACATCAACGCTTACTATGCACATACCACTGCCTCCACCAACGTGTCTGCCTCCGACCGCTTTGCTGCTTCCAATTTCGGGGTAAGTCCTATGGTGCGTAAAACTCTCTTTCCTATTTCTCTCTTCTCTTTGGGGCGGGGGTGCATGGTAGATAGAGCCGTGCAAAGACACCGCCACCAGAAGGCGGATACTTCCAATTGGACCATCCCATTAAAAACAACAGGCTATCTTCCTTGGAAAATTGGCAGCAATTTGGCTTGAATGCACACAATTTTGCTTAAAAAGAAAAAAAAAAAGCCAAGTGTGACATTTGTGAAATTAGACCCATTTGTGACCTGCGGGTGGCAGTCACCAGGAAAAAATATGTTGAAATTCACACATTTGAAGCCAAAATTTTTTTTTTTTAAGCCACTCATGGAGCAAAAAATGTCACCGTTGTCACCTGCAGACAATCAGCAACACTTTTGCCAAAATCCCTTGGGAATTTTGCACGGCCCTGGTAGTTCTGGATGGAACCTGAAGCCAGAGCAAACTTGTCTGGTTTTGTGGGTCTGGATGGATCCCCAAACTCCCCGTCACATAGCCAGTTTGGACACTTACTGGGGGACTTTTGCCTTATGGCCCCAGTCCTACTGAGACTATTGCACCAGCTTCACTTTACACATGCTGAGAGGCCCTCTTGATGTCTGGGAGAACACTCGCATGTGTAAAATGAAGTGCGTGTGTAAGTGTCAGTAGGAATGGGACCTAAGGCCAGAAGCAAAACCAGGAAAGTTTCCACAGGTGACAGGTTAATGCCGTCACGGGGTATTGTTGAGTTAAAGTGACCGGCCTTTTCTCAGTCTTGGATTCACCAGCGTAATTCTGGAGTAACCACACCGAAGTCCGTGGGTTTTCTCTGGATTTACACTGGTGTAACTGAGCTGAGAACCCAGCCCTATAGCTGTCCGAAAAACACTCTGGCTTATTAAACCTAGACCGTGCTAATCTTGGAGGCCAATTCTTAACTTTTCTTTGCTTCGTTTCTTCCCAGCTTGGACAGTGAAAACCAAGTAGCCAGTTGCACGTGTGTTTCTAGTCAGCGTCTAGGTGCCTTCGTTTCCTGTTGCCCATGCGTTGTCTGTCTGTCCCTGTGCTGGAGGGTTTGGGTTACCGACACAGCAGGGGGATGCCTAGAGCCAAGTAAACTGTATTTCTGAGTCGTGAAAAGTTTTTCTCTTGATCTTTAGGGTTTGTAAAAACTTTTTTTTCTTTCTCTTTTTTTAGAGAGCCTAAATTTGGGCCCTAAAGTACCCGACAGTGTCGCTTTACCCCACTGTGTTACCCAGCGTGCCTGTCATGACCAGTTTTAAGGCGTGCTGCAACTGCTCTGTTTCGGGGACGTGCATCTGTGCACTCTGCACGGTCTCTGCAAAAACTGGTCTTACTGTCTCTTGCAGGCAAATGATATGAAGGTTCACGGTAGCAAATGCAGGCTGTGGGCTAGCCTGAGCTCACACCGAGAGGAGGGGGTGTGTTAGCTGCACCGCTCTGGGCGTCAGTCTGTGCCCAACCCCTGACTTTCTGATGTAGCCCCCATGCCTTCACCCCTGCAGCAAGGGAATTGCCATGTCCCTCCTGCTCCAGCCTCCTTTGGCATGCTGTGACCCAGTGAATGTCCCACTGTATAAGGGGCTCATTGCTTTCTTGCCTCTTCAGGGGGACAATGTCACCCTCTCACTCCTGTGAGCCTACACCCAAGGTGTGCGCCTAAGGAAGACTTTCTGGCTTCCTTGCACTGATGTGTCATTAGTCACACATGGAGCAGAAATTAGGGCCAGAGGGGACTGAAGGTCATCCCCTCCTGCCAGGATGAACGTATCCTTGACCTATGCCCAGTTCTGCCTTGAGGAGCTGAGAGCACTCAGGGCAGCTGGCATTTTCCAGCAGGTGCTCAGTACCTCACAGAAGCTGGCCCTTTGTTATACTGGGCCTGGAAAAGCTGCCAGTACTGATAGGCAAAACCGGAGCAGTTCCTTCTCTTAATCAACCTGCAGAGCTGGGGGAGATTCGGGCCTGCACCAAGGGCTGCCACAGGTGAAGCAGGGCCACAGCACCTACTGTGACCTGTAGCATCTATATGCCCTTTTATGCCAGGGTGGGTAGCCACAGAGACTTGGGTCCCTGGGAAAGCCGTTTGCAGGGAATATAGTGGGATTCCCATTAGCAGGTCCCATTGTGTGACAGGCAGATGTCTCCGGTGACTGCTGGTCCTTGTGTGCAGGTCCAGGGTCATGCTGGAGGAGGGCAGCATAGCTCCTCAGCGGGAAAGAGCTAGGCAAGCTCTGGCAGCCATAAATGGGGAGCCTGCGTCAAGCCTTTCCCCACCCTTTGCTTCCTTTCTATTGAGTGTGGCTGGCACGTGGGGAGCTGCGAAGCCCAGGGCTAACCCTGAACACTCTCGCTGAGAGCCCCCTCCCTGGGGCATACATTGAGAGTGGCTCCTATGGAGTCAGCTACCCAAGGGGACCCTTATGAGCGCTAATCCAGATTCACTCCTGAAGTGGATTAACTAAACTGCATTACACCCCTTACAAAATGGCCTTAAATTCCACGTCGGTTAAATCACTTTGGGAACGAATTGAACGACTGCTCAGTTAGGACGTCCCCACGTGCAATTGAACTAAACCACTGTGGATGTGCAGCTCTAGTTCATTCAGAGTCCCTTTCCCACGTGGCCCTGTGCAGATACGCTCAGAGTAGCATGGATTTAATGAATCCACTGACAATGTGCAGCCATCAGCCTCACTTCAGGAAAAGCTCCTGAGCTGTGTGAGGTGGCCTGGCCCCCGTCCTTGAAGAGACGCCATCTGGTCTGCAGTTAGCATCCCTGAGGGAGAGGAGGGATGGACTCAGCTGCAGTAGGAAGAGGATCCTCTGCGGAGGCTACTGGATTCAGACAGCCCCTGCGGTTCTCTCGGACTCTAGCTCCCAGCCTACATTGCCTCCCATTGCAAGGCAGGTCTCACTGCATCCTGGCTAGGGCTAAGCCAACAGGGAGTGGCCTGCTAACTGGGCTGCAGTTTGCTCCAGACCTTATGCTCATTTCTAAACCTTTCGGTTGACTGTACCAGAGAGATCCAGGAAGATGTTGGCCTCTCTTCCACATCTTCCTCCCATCACAGTCCTGCTGAGACCCAGCCCAACCATAGGCACTGTTCATGTAGGGGGGAGCTACAATTGGGAAGAGGGATCAGTACTGTCAGTCCTGTTAGCCTTGCTCTGAGGATGGGGTGATGGGGGGAGGTGGGAAAGCCACCTTGGATGCCTTTCCCCCATTTACCTGGCCCCGGGGTGTGTCTCCACAGAAAGAGCGCTTCGTCAAGCTGCTGGACCAGCTGCACAATTCGCTCCGGATTGACCTGTCCATGTACCGGGTAAGGGAAGCAAAACCCATGTGGGGCAGTGAATGCTTGGGGAAATCTATCCTTCATGGGAGTAGTGTGGTCATCCCAGCCTTTCTCAGTCAGGGGGGTGGTGGAATAAGTCTTGAACCACAGGCTCAAAGCAGGTCTACTTTCCGGTTTGTGTCTTGGGAGTCATCATGCAAAAGTTCGGTCTCAAGTCCCCGTTCTTCACCAGACTAAAACATCACCATGATGCGGTGGGGACCGCTGATAGCTCAAGGACCCATGCAGTTGCCCAGTTCACACTGCCTACACCTGCTCTATGCTAGGTACCCACCACAACATGTCTCCTCATGCTTCTAGCAAGCCTCCCAGCTGTTCCCCCATCTCCTGTGGCCTTTTGTGTGAGGAAACACCTTCCAAGTGTCCAGATCCTGCCAAGGGGTCAGAATGGCCCAGTAGATAACATGTGGATTGGGGTCAGGAGATGTGGGGTCCGGCAGACTCCATGCCAAGGGAGAGAGCACTATCAGCCTAGCCGTAAGCTCTGTGGCCATGCCCAGCTGGGTGCTTCCTGCCCATTGAGACCTTCTTGCTTTTGTATTCATCGTGGGGCCCTCTGCTTTTCTTTCCTATTTGACAGAATAACTTCCCTGCCAGCAGCCCTGAAAGGCTACAGGACCTCAAGTCAACAGTGGATCTGTTAACCAGCATCACCTTCTTCCGAATGAAGGTAATGGCCAGTGCCCAGGTCTCTGGTTCCCTGCCCACGTGGGATGAAGAAAGACCTCCATAGCTCACAGAGGAAAGCAACTCAGCCTTGACCCTCTGCTTCCCTGCTGGAGAGCTGTGGGTGGGCCATGCCAGGGGCTGATATGCAAGTTGATTTGCTTAATTAATTGCTCACCATTTCTCCTAGGGCCCAAGCTGCACTCCTGTGGGATTTTGCTGTTATTAAGGGGCTTTTGTTGAACTGTATGTGGATACCCCTGGCCCCAGGGCTCTGGGTTGAATAAAGTCAGGGAGATTCCTGGCCTAGCAGGATTTCTCACCCAGTAGGGAGCCCTGCTTAGGATGGGCAACAGGGATGTGAGCTGGCCTCATGTATCTCCAGGGCGTGTGAAGACAGCCTCCTTCTTGGTGGAGCACTAGTGACACCCCAGTCCAGCAGCCCTTCACAAGGGAGCTAAACCTATCACTGTCCCAACTCCCGGGCAATGGACGTTTGAGGGGGCAGGCATCTATCTTAAGAAATGGCCTGTGCAAAGCATTTCCTTGTTTCTCTTCCCGGTTCTGCAGGTCCAGGAGCTACAGAGCCCTCCCCGTGCCAGCCAAGTAGTGAAGGACTGCGTGAAAGCCTGCCTCAACTCCACCTATGAATACATCTTCAACAACTGTCACGAGCTGTACAGCCGGGAGTACCAGACAGATCCCGTAAGCAGGGTGGGTGGGAGAGCTGGTCCTGGAGCCTCTGTGCAGAGCTGCCATGAAGAGCTCTGCTCATGCAGCAGGAAGAGGGTAGCAGCACCAGGCCTTTGCCGTGACCTGCTGCATGTGGCATTTATGATGCTGACTTCTCACTTTCCTTCCTTCCTCCCTCCCTTACACTGAATTCCTGCCCCCCACCCAGTCTTAGTGGCCACGCTCCTTTTAGATTAGCAGCTACCTTTGCTATGACTTCAGATCCAAAGCACAATTCAGGTGTTGGTGTCCTGGCCCTGGAAAACACTGTCCTCCTTTGCTACACACCCACTTTAAGGATCTGGTTCCTTTCCAGTGCTCAGGTGAGGCTCAGTAGCAAGCTGGGACTCCTGGTATGTGGACTTCTGGTAAGGGAACCCAGAAAAGATGCAATTCTGCAGGAAATCAAGTGATGCAACCGGGAGGTGAGAGCAACTCCACTCCTTGCAGTTTGGGGCCAGTCTCTCCAGGTTTCCTATATGGAGCAAGACTCGAGGATTCCTGTCTGGGGCAGGACTCAGAAATGTGTACAGGGACATGGGCCTGAACCTAGACCGGATCCAGACCTGTGTCTGTCAGAAGCAGTCCTGCCTTGGCCATCAGGGAATGAGCTGGGAAGGAACAAGTAGGTTTGGGTCTATGTCTAATGCCCAAGCAGAAGGGAATCTGAGTCTGGAGGCCACATTGTGATAACAGTCCCTGAGAGCAGCTGGGCTGTTTTCACACCTGTCTTTGACCACAGATTTCCCCTTCCTTTTATTTGGGCTTTTCTTAGACAAAGAAGGGTGAGGTGCCCCCTGAGGAGCAGGGGCCCAGCATCAAGAACCTGGATTTCTGGTCCAAACTCATCACGCTGATTGTCTCAATTATTGAAGAGGATAAGAACTCCTACACGCCCTGTCTGAACCAGTAAGTACCTGCATGGGGAGGGCAACATCTCCTCTGCTCCCCATAAAGCATGTGGGAGAATTGAGAGAGTCACAGAGCCTCTCGCCTTAACCAGGCAAAGCTGAGAGCTGAGGTGGCTGGAGGATGCCACACTGGGAGCTCCAACATAGGAGCCCCAAGAAGCCAGAACATGGGGGAAGACATCTCTGTGGGGTTTCCTTCTTTCCACTTGCACTGAATCCCCTGAGAAAGACAGAATTCACAGTCACTTCCACATGCCCCTGCAAGCACTGGCAGGGGACCAGCTTCAGGATTAGAAAATGTTCTTAGTGCCATGGAACAAACCCAAACCCTTTTGGCTGTCATGCACCCAGACTGGGCTGAAGCGAACATTGTCCAATCAAAATCACCAGGTTTTCTCATCTCTCTCTGGTACTTGCTCAGAAAATAACCCCTTGACCCATGAGAGCTCCTGGCTGGAAGCTGCATCAAAACTGACACATCTTTCTGGCAAAACTGTAGTTTCTGACCAAAGAATTGCTTAGTCAGAGCTATCCCAGCTGGCTCCTCCAGAAAGGGAATGCTCCGTGCCAGGCCCTGCGGCTTGGCATTGATGCAGTGCCTGGGAAGGAAGATACTTCCAGCATGGGGCATCTGAGTCAGGAGCTGGAGAAGGGAGGGCAGCTGGCTGCCATTCGTACTTCATGGAATGATTCCTCTTTAGAAAATGCCAGAGACGAGGGCTGGGTGGGACAGACAGTACAAAGAGCCAGGAGCCGCTATTTGTTAGAAATGAGCCTTGCCACTGGAAAAAAATGCCTGTTTTATAGGAAGCCCCGAGAGGTGAGATGACTTGTCCCTAGGCTAGGCTACACAGCAAGTTAGGAAGTTGCTGGGAAAATTACCCAGGAGTCCTGACTCCCAGTCGTGCTGAGCACACTGATTCTCCATGTGTGGGTGTGGATCTGGTGCTGTCCATACCATGTCAGGCTGGGAAGATGGTAACGCCCCTCCGCCTGCCTTTAGGGAGCTTCTCCCTTCCGATCTGCCCAGCTCCATGCCTGTCCCAGTAGCAGGGGGAAATAAAAACAGCCGTTGTCACAGCCATAATTGGTGCTGCCATGGGCACAGCTCTGCTGCTACACCTCTGGCTTGTGCCATGCCCAGGTTATAAGTCACCTTCCCTGTGCCCTACCTGTTTGGTGCTGACTGGATGAGCACAGAAAAGCCCCAGGTGCCCCACATCTGTACAGCAGTCTCTGTGCTCTCCTTGGGGCATAGTGACACCAGGGAGACCAGCTTTCTCTCCCCTTGAAGCAGCTGGGTTGGAGTTTTCTTCTCTACCTGCTGTATTCATTTAGTTTTCCTCCTTTCCTTTAATCACTGCCAGGTTCCCCCAGGAGCTGAACGTGGGCAAGATCAGTGCTGAAGTGATGTGGAACCTCTTTGCTCAGGACATGAAGTATGCAATGGAAGGTGAGTTTCCCCTTGGCTGCATTTGCCTCTTGGCAGGGGGGCACCAGCTCAGCTCAAGCCAGGGTGGGGAAAATGTGCCACCTAATGATAACAAAAAGCCATGACCACTCACAGCTAGTCCTGAGCCTCCTTGCATTGGCAGTGGAGCTGGAGCACAGTGCCTCCTGCTCCAAAAGTCATATCCCGGCTGATAAGGTAAAGGAGAATCTCTGCTAGCAGTACAGGCCCCAGGCCACGCAGCTGCACAACTCTGATGCCACCCAGCACGGGGTGGTAGTGAGCATACACAGTAAGGCAGCTCACTCCAGTCCTGATGGTATCAAAAGGGGTGCTGAAGAAGCAGCATCGGACACTAGGCTTGAGGGCAGAGCAGAGGGCTGGAGGGAGGGGGAATAAGCCTTTCTGTTGATGCGGGCAGGAGCACCTGACAGTCCTGCTCTCTGCCCCCCTCCCAGAGCACGACAAGCACCGCCTGTGCAAGAGCGCTGACTACATGAACCTGCACTTCAAGGTGAAGTGGCTCTACAATGAGTATGTGACTGAGCTGCCTTCCTTCAAGAGCCGGGTGCCTGAGTACCCTGCGTAAGTCCTGGTGGGGCAGCAGGTCATTGCAAAGAGGGGCTGCCTCCATTGCTAGAGTGCTAGTGAGGTCCCAGCAGGAGGGCGCTGCCCTGGGGTGATTGCCGTTGCCTGGCCTCTGCATTCATCCCAGCCATGCTGCGTGGCTGTTTGCACACCCATGTTGAAGGTGAGGAGTGGGCGGGGGGG